GCCCTGCACAATTCTACCATGCTGTGTCCTGGATGCAGCTGTTTGACTGAAGGGTCATGGCAGAGGGTGCCATTTTCAAGTTCACATGAGAGTGCAGAAGGGAGCAGCAGCCCAATACTTAACTACCACACCACCAGACACCTTTGCAGTGGCCTGGTTTTGGGGATGAGGGTGGGGATGGATTCTTATAATTTGTGTCTCTGAAATCGAGTATATAAATACACATAAGTTCACGTTTGATGCATCAACTTTCCCTCATATTGTTGCTTGGTGACAGCGAGGTCCCTCTGCCTCAGTGACCCTTTAATGGAACCGTGTGTCATGCTCACAACTCTGCTGTGCTGACACCCATTGCTGTAGTCACTGTGTCAGTCCATCTTTCTGAGGATCCTCCTCTTTTTTCCACTGACCCTCTACCAAGCAAAATGCCTTTTTCCAGGAACTGACCCCTCCTGATAACAAGCCCAAAGAGTGTGAGATGATTGTTCACTATCCTCACTTCTAAGGAGCATTCTCTCTACTCTTCTTCCAAAATGGATTTGTTGGCTTTTTTTGGTCAGTGTTCTTCATCAGAACCATGATTCCAAGGCATCAGTTCTTTAGTTGTCCTATTCATTGCCCAACTTTCATATGTATATGAGGTGATGGAATATACCACGGCATGGATCAGGCACACCTTAGTCCGCAGAGTGACAGCCTTGCTCATTAACACTTTAAAGAGATTGATCCTTTGCTACAGATTCATTGGGAAGCATTGCTTGATTTCTTGACTTCTGCTTCATAGGTTGTTATTATCGATCCAAGGGAAATTAAATCCCTGACAACTTTAGACATTTATCTGTTATTGTGATGTTAACTTTCATACACAGAGAAGCAAAAAAAGCTTCTCGGTCTTCACCACTGGCTGCACCTGACACTCCAGGGTTCTAGTACAACAGGTCACGTTGTGTCGGATCTGATCTGTAAGGTGCTTCCTGACATCTCCTAAGATTCCCCAGGTTCTGCATGGGGTGATAGGAAGGAACCCACATTAAATGCTCTTCCCCAATGTGTATTTTTTCCCAGACAATTTTCTTATTCTTCATTCCCTTCTCCAGCTTTGTATTTTTATAGGAGTCTTTCTCAGTCTTCTTGGTTTAATAAATAAAAAAGTATTGATTGATTTGAGATTGCAGGCTCCTTATATTGTTCTGGGAACCAATTATTTTGAGCCTTACCAATATTTTCCATGTTGTTGTTGTTGTTGTTTTCTGGTGTCGAGTCACCTGCAATTCATAGTGACCCCATCATGTTTTTAGTAATTTGTATTATCTTACAGCGTTGCTATGGGCCTTGGAAGGAGCTCTGGGAGTGTAGTCCATAGTGGATTGCATGCTCATTCAAAGGCTCTGCTTCTCCAGTGGTTCGAATCCACGATCAGCTCAATGAGGGGAATATGGACAGCCTCTTCCCATTGAGATTTACTACCTTCAAAACCTAATGGCGGGTCATTATGAGTCAGAATCCACTGAATAGCAGTGCATTTGAGTTTTGATTCTTGGTATTGGTTGTTAGTTGCCATGGAATCATTTCTGACTCTTAGAGAACTTCAAGTGTGTGCTGGTACACCTATGCTTCATGACATTATCAGTGTATTTGAAATAAGACAGTTTGTAGTTGGAGGATGGTCCCCAGCATTGTAGGACAGTAGGATCTTTGGCCCTTCTTACAAACTTCCAGTAACACTAGAGATGCTCTCTCACATTGGCAAATGCCTCCTTGGAGGATGGTACCATCCCCAACAGAAATCTCTTAGTACTTGTGCCTGAATGAACACTCATTACAGGTTGTGATACAAAAACAGCTAGGATGGAATCTCATCAGACACCTCCAAGACAAACACATCTGCTTGTAGTCTGCGTGCCTTCCTTGTCTTTTGGGCTCTGAGATCCTGGTGGTCAAATCTCTGGGCTCTGGGATCTTGATAGCCCAGACCAGTACTTTCTCAGTAGAACCCTTTCTGATACCTTAGATGGAGTGTGGTGGGGAGGGGGTTCATTTTTGTGATTTGTCTTTGTTTTCATGTGTGACACATGTCTCCAGGCTCCAATCTATCCTTCTATTGAGAATTACTGCTCTTTTCTGCCACTACCACAGTGCTCCTTAGAGGCGTGGGCGATGAAACTTTATCTCACGTACTTCAGGCTTGGAAAATCGGAGGGTCAGTGAAAAGATGAAGACCTTCAAAAAGATGAATTGAGTGACTGCAATGATGGGCTCAATTGTATCAGGATGATGAGGATGGGGCAGGATTGGATGGAGTTCAGCGCTGTTCTTCGTCAGGTCCCTGTGAGTTGTATCTGACTAGATGGCACCTTTTCATAACCACCACAGTGCTGGAGTGATACGCTTAATTTTGTTCTACCCTTAAAACAAGTTGACTCCAAACACTTTTCATATTCCCATTTCACAGATGAAGAAACCAAGGCTTTATAAAAGTGCTAATAACTTGCCTTCTGATTCTAGGGTCTGTGTTCTAACAACATAATGGTCTTTCTGTCTAGAAAATGGGAAAAGGCTTAGAAGGGGAGAGACTGGAGGATAAAGGGAGGACCAAGATGCATGTGATCCAAGCCGTGGGGTTTTCAGGTGCTTTTGGTGCATCTGAATATTGGACAATTAGTAAGGATGACAGAATCTGACCTTGGAATTGTGATATGGGTGAAGAGTATCTACCGACTATTCTATAGGCTGTCCAAAGAACAAACAAGGCTGTCTCAGAGGAAGTACAAGCAGAATGCTTATTAGAGGCAAGGATGGTGAAACTCTGTCTCACGTATTTTGGGCATGTTGTCAGGAGGGGTCAGCCCTTGGAGAATGACTTCATGCTGGGAAAGGTGGAAGGTCAGGGAGAGGAAGACCTTCAGAAAGGTGGATTGACACAGTGACAGTGAGCTGAGGCAGGAGAGGGCAAGGTTCAGGTCTGTTGTTCATACTTTGAGCATAGATTGTTAACAACAATAAAGAAACCAATTCAAATCGAGCACGAGCTTCACCCCTCAGGACACACCAAGCATCGTTAGTATACAGCCTGTCAGCACCAGCTGAAGTCTTAGCTGGTCCACATCAGTGGGGGAAAGGCTTTGCAGGCATTTTTCCTAAATGACCGTGGGTCAGAGCTGGGGAGGATTGGCCGCCTAATTCATGAAGCAGGATGGAGTGCGGGCACCCATGCCAGCTTGAGAGTCTGCTGCTGCCCAGAGAATCTGGCTGCCGCATCCACTCTCAGCCTCTCTGGGGAAACAACAACAAAACTCCAGGCCGGATATCTGGGGAGTGGAAGGATAGGAGGAAGTTGGCAGGTTGGCTCTGAGGAACCTGATGCCTGGATTTCCAGGACTCCAGTATGGGGAGCAACAGCAAGAACAGAGCAGATGCCACCAGCCCTCGACACCATTCATTCATGTTATGAGATTCACCGAGCCAGTGCCAGGTTCTGCACGAGATGCTGAGGATTCACAACAAATGGCACTGACAAATCGCTCTGCCCTCAGAGAGCTTACATTCTAATAAGGTAACACAGATGATAAACATTGATAGATAAAATAGATGTATGCTAGATGGAAGAGGTGCCGTGGACAGAAGATAGGGAAGAGGATAGGCCCTGTGGGGGTTTGGGTTTTAAACAGTGTCCAGAGAAGGCCTCAAGAAGTGTCAAGTTCTCAGCTCTCTACAGCAGTGACCTCATTAATGTTCACAATAGTGCCAAGAAATAGGGGATGTTATTCTTCCCTTTCATAGAAAAAGATACTGAGAGGTTCAGAGAGATGCAGTGGCCAGCTACAGATCATACAGCGATCATACATGTGGTACAACTGGGATTTGAACTCAGGTTAATAGGAACGTCAGTGACTGTGCTCTTGTACTTCACCAACCATTGGTGCAGGCACAGCCTGCCGGCAGCATTTGGGGACCCATGGATGGCAGATGTGGGCAGCTGTTGGTGGGGCGGGGCTTGAGATCTTTAGTGAGCTGCATCCAGACCACCTTCCCTGTCTGTGACTAAGGAGTTCCCTCACGGAGCTGCAGCCGAGGCAGGAGGGAGCACACGATAGGGGTTGTCCCAGGACGGGACAGTCCTGGCCCAGGACTCACCCTGCCACCACCCCTGGGCCAGCTGGGCCAGCTGCTCCAGTCAATAAGGGGAGGCCTTCAGGGCGCTCATCCCATCCCTGTGGGGTTCATGGTGTGTTGCTGTGTTGGAAGGGTAGACTGAAGGCAGCATCGGAGGCTGGCACGTGCACAGTGCAGGGAATGGTGCAGAGGGTGGGATTCTGGAGGTGCGGAGGGGGGGGCCACCTCTTAAAGCTCTCAGGAGAGTTTAGGATAGGATATGTGAGGCAAATGGGAAGGAACTGGGGTGGAAAGATTAAGAGAACTAGTTAGGGTGAACGCTCACTTAGTAGGGGAGGGGGCCCTGGAGAGAGCAAGGGTGAGTCAGCTCTAGGCGCCTCAGAGAGGCAAGGAGTGGACACTAGTCATAGGAAAAAGTGGGGAAGGACAACTGTTGTTGCTTCCCAGAGAGAAGGAGCCAAAGCATGGGACCAAGGAGGACAGCCTGGGAATTTTCCGAGTGTGATAGAGGCCAGGGAAGACTATATATGTGAGACGTGCAGATACCACCCAGCACACAGGAAAGTGGGAAGAGCAGGTCCTAGAGAGAAGCTCCAGGGCTCTGGAAAAGCAGGTTTTGGAGAACCCGAATAGTGCCTGGGAAACCTGGAGGGGGCAGGGGAAGAGGTCACAAATTCTGGGGAAGAACTTGTTTGGAGAGAGCGCACCCAGGGACACTAGAGGGAAGTGGGACAGTGGCCTGGAGAGGCCAGGGACCTGGGCGGCTGAGGATGGGGAGGCAGCAGCTTGGAGGATGAGCCCCTGGGCTGGGTGTAGAAATGGGCACGGAGAGCACTTGTTCTCTGCCTCCCCTTCGGGGCTGCTTCCAGCCCTAACATGCCACTCACCATGATGGAGAAGACCAGAGCCACAATGTTGATGGGGTACGCAGGGCAGAAGCACGAGATGATCGTGAGCCACAGGTAGTTATCAGGCTTGGGTACATCCTCCTCAGTCTTTTCATCCTCTGTGTTGGCCTCAGGACTGCTGTCCAGAGCGCTCTTGAAGTCAGATCCAGGGTTGAAGTGAGACATGGACGAGGCTGGTGCAGGGAGCAGGCAGAGGGAGCGCAGTCTGGACTCTGGCCGCAGGCAGGCTCCTGGGGAGGCTCTGAAAAGCCCCAGTGCAGGGCTCTGGGGAGAGACGTGACCTCACCCCTCCTGCGTCCTCTGCCTGCACTCTGCCTGGGGCCTGGGGATCCGGGCCAAGTGCCTCCCTACAGGGAGGGAGGGAACGAGAGGGAAGGCGGGGAGAAGGGAGGGAGCCAGCCAGTCTGCTAAAGAGAGTGAGAAAGACAGACCAGGGCAGTGGCTCCACAGTGGACACACCCAGAGACCATCTAACCAAGGACCAGATTCTGACTGAGAAGTGTGAAATAGCACCAGGAAAAAGGAATTGACCAGGTGCAGGGCGTGGAACAAGAACATTTTAAAAAACCATAGAATTTGAAAGACCCACCCTTCTATCTGTACCATTTCTACTTGCCTTCAGCAATTTACCTTCACTGTATGGAACTCAGGTGCTTCATTAGCCCTGAACACCCTTTCTGTTTGAACACAGAGCCCCTGTAATCCTCTTCCCTATAGGTGGGAAGGGCACAGCAGTGGGTGGGCTTTTACCCACCTGCAGTGTGGTATAGCCAGGCACCAGGGTAGGGTGTGGGGGTGTGGAGGGTATAGGACCGCAATGAGCACTCACTTCTCGCATCTCACTTCTCTCCAAGAGTAGAAACAGACCTGTGTCTGCTGCACCACTTGAATGACCCTAGAGAAAGATCTGGGAGATGCAGACCTAATTTCTCCTGAGTAGTATTGCATTATATTTGTGTACATTTTATTTATCTGTTCATGGATATGTAAGTTATTCCCATCTTGGCCTATTGTAAGTAGTGCCATAAGAAAAATTGGTGTATAAAACTTTGGGTCTAACTTAAAGACCCATACCCATAATATCCATTGTTGGAGAAATGAGTGGGGGAAAAATGTCTATCCCCAAATAGTAGATATTGTATGACTTTACTTTTATAAAAAGATAGGAAAAAGCAGATGTATTGAGATCATAGTTTCTTAGTGATTACTGGAGGAAAGAGGGAGAAAGGGCTGTTAATGGTGAGAGAAAAGTTTCATTAAATAAAGGTAGCTTTGCACAGCCAGTTATTGTAATTACTGTCAACAAGTTGGACACCTTGAGCAAAGTTGAGCAAAGCTGTGTGATGTATATACAATACATAATGATATATATTCCTCACAAAAAAGAAAACAATGTCGAGAAGTAGCTGCTGATGAGATTCCGTTCCTTGTTTTGGAGATTCTAGTTAACTGGCATGATAACCAGTTCAGTGTCTCTGTTCTAGCTCCTAGTTCATTGCTTAGTGGTCTTAAAAGCATACATGTGACCATCCAAGGCACAACTGTTGGCCTGTGTTTTTCTGTAGCAGTAGAAGAGGAGGAGTCGGGAATAGGAGGAAGACCCATGAATTGCATGGCTGGATGCCTCATGAACAACTCCCTCCTTTTTCCATGAAAGCAGAAGAATTAGATGATGGTGCCTGGCTACCGGTACTGAGCGTTTTGATCAAAGATTCTATTGAAGAATCCTTACCCAAAGGGAGAAAATAGAGAACAGAATTCCAAATTCTCAAGCAGCTCTAGACTTTGTGAATTGAGTAGGTGAGTCTCTGAAATGATTTCCCTCAGATAATCTTTTAACCTTAAACCAAAAATATTCCCTGAACTCATCTTCCAGCCAAAAGAATAGTTGAACTTAACTAGTGGGGGAGGAGGGGAGGAAGTCTGCCTTGAGCATTGTACTCTTCTGAGAATAAGCTATATGAGTTCAAAATGACAGCAACAACTCAAAAAGATGAACTAGGAAACTAAGAGGGCAAAGGGTTGATGGTAATGAGGGAGGAACAACTCAGAAAAAGGTGAAAATGGTTGCAAAACTTGAAGAATGTCATCATATGTCACTAACCTGTACATGTAGACACTAGGGGATTGATGTATATTTCTCTGTATTTATTCTCAACAGTGAGAAAATAAATCAGATTTTAGGGGAGGAGGCGATAGCCCAACAAATGCTCACATCATTTTTAGTAATAAAAAATATTAATCATCTCTTTGGCTTTCTCTGAGTATGAGGTGCTTGTCTCTGATGCTGTCACTTAGCTCATGCACCATCTTTATTGGGTTACCTGCTTCTGTCCTCTGACTGCAGATTCCCTGCCGAGAGATGGAACTTGTCTTACTCATGTCTGTGTCACTGGTGGTGCCTGGACACAAGGGGGTGAGGCTTAGAATAGCTTGCAAGGTGAGCCCATCAACGGGAAATGGCCTCATCCCCAAAACACCCACACTTGCATCTTGGTATGCCAGTCACCTTAGAATGAGCCGAAAGCTTGGCTTTATCTACGGGCTTTCTTTTTTATTTTATTATTTTTGTGTGTGTGTACCGTCAAATCAGATCTGACTGGTACAGAAGGAGATTGCCCCTCCTTCCCCGGCAGAGCATCTAGTGGATTCGAACCCTGCGCCTCTGGGATTGTAGTTGCAGCTTCTTGCCACTAGGCCACCAGAGCTCCCCGTCTACAGGCTTTCTAACTGAGCCTTTGCACTGGTTGTTCTTTCCGTTGGGAATACTGTTCCCTTAGACTGTCATATGGCTGCCTTATTCCCAGTTGCCAGCTCAAATGTCACGTTCTCAGAGAAGAGCCTTTTCTTCAGATTTATGTAATGTAGACTACCACAACAATTCTATTATTTTGACAGCTTGTATTTTCCTCTGTGACATGCATCACCATTGTAATTTACTTGTTCATTATCTAGTCTTTCCTAGCCTAAAAGCTCTGTTACTTGTTCAGAGCTGTTTCTCCTATGCCTTAATTGTCCTCATAAGAAGCAGTTTTTGAAAGAATGGATTGTAATTACCTGGGAATATTGGAAGCACCTTCAGCTCTTGACCAAGACTCAGCTGCCATTTGAACCATTGACCTGTCAAGTGCTTTCACCACCTGCCTTCAGGGATTCTAACAAAATAGAATGTTGTTGTTGTTTTTAGGTCCTGGTGGACCAGCTCCAACTCACAGGAACCCTGCGTACAACGTTCAGGTATCACAAAGTAATGAAAGCCATCAAAACATATCACTGACTTGGCTTTTAACCAAAAAGTTATAGGCTTAAAGCTACCCAGAAGAGACTCAGAAAAAAAGGTCTGGCAATCTACTTCTGGGGAAATCCCCCAACAAACCAGCCATTGAAAATGATGTGAAGTACAGCTCTACTTAGATATGCATGAAGTCACCGTCCATTGGGATTGGGTCAACGGTAACTGGTTGTTTTTGGTTTTGATAACAGTAACCCATCTTCCTTGTCAAGAAGACAGCTCTCCAATACTGATCTGACACTCCGGAGTCATGAAACTATTACTGAGGACCTACCATATATGCTCAATGGATTCTCCACTTGGATTACTTAACTGACTTCTTTAGCAATGTCTTTGAGGTAGGTGACAAGATTGCCTCTTTACAAATGAGAGACCTTGGATCAGATTGTTAACGGGACTTACTTAAGGTCTCCTGCTTAAGTAGAAGAATTGGGATTCGAACCCAGTGCTTGTTCTGTCAGCATGTCAGGTAAAGCTAGATGGACATCTCTGAAGTTTACTTACATTCTGCCCCAGGAAGATAGATTAATAGCCTGATGGCAAATGTAGCAGTGAAATGGCGATCACTTGAAACATTTGCAATTAAATGGAAAAGAAAGTGCCCAGAGCAGAAAGTGTAATGTATATGTGCTGAGCCTTAAGGGAGCCTTCGATCACTTAGTTGGGGTTTCCAGTTCTAATTTCCTGAGCTGCACTCATTTTCTCCTGAGAGGTCAGTTTATTGCTCTTGGGTAACGCTACTGGCTGATTGCTTAATAGTGTGGCAGTGCTCTCCCTCCTTAAAATGAGACACTGAAAGTACCTTCGCACCAGTCAGTCTATCATGTAGCTTTCTGGATTGCAGGATTACAGTGTCCCTTTTGATCATTTAAAAGAAGTCTTACTTCTGAATATCAGAGTGTCTTTAGGTTCTGTCACATCAGCAATGCCTCGTAGTGACCCTACGAACAGCAGATCTGGACCTTGCTCTTTCTGGTGCCATCCTCACATTCTCTGATATACTTGCACCCATTGTGATTGCCCCTGGGCTAGTCCATGTGGTTGCGGGCTGTCTTCTCTTTCTCTGTCCCTCCACCTTTCCCAAGTCTCTCTCTGAGGAAGTGCAAGCAGGGTGCTCTTCAGAGGCAAAGATGATAAAACGTCATCTCTCATTCTTTGGACATATTGTCAGGAAAGGTTAGTCCCTGGAGAAAGACATCATGCTTCAAAAGGTGGAGTAATATAAAAGTAATAATACAGTTTTATATGTAATAATAAATATTAATACAATGTAATATAATAATATAAAAGTAATATGTGTATGTTTTAGTAAAGCTGAAAAATAAAGAGCAGCGTAAAGCAGAATAGATTTCACTTCTGTGCTCCCACCCATCAGTGACCACCACAAACACAAGAAACAGACTGTTTTTTCCAATTATCTTTCTGCAAATGTGCATTTTTCTCCCTCGTAATGAGGCTATATACAATTTTGTTTCCTTTTTTCTCTGCTCTCTGTTACATGATGAATTAGCATTCTTTGCTGGTGTTGTAATGGTCTATATAATTTTCCTATTGTTTAGATGGATTATTGTTTATGTATCCATTCCCAGATCATTAGGTACTGAGACAATTTTTAGTACTTTTTAGGGTTGTTATTTTGAAAATAGTGTGATGTACATCTCCCCCCCCTCCCCGTTTTCTGCACTTGTGATTATTTCTTGTGATCTGTGATGATACCGCCTAGATATCATTCTTTGGGAAGACTGAAAAACTCGGATGGACTGATGGAGATATTGCACAATCAGATATATACCAAAGGCTGAGTTAAATGATAGGCCGAAGAAGCAGTCACAGACTCGTTTACTAGAGAGTGGTTGAAAATTAGATGGATACA